TTTGTTTAAATATGAGTGCATTTGGAACCCTGCAAAAGTTATTCTTCCAGAAAAATGTTGTGAAGTTTTTTCGATCTCTTTATTTACTTTTATACTATTACTCTACAGACTTGCCTTCTCTTTTCAACAACTTTTATTTATTCCTATTGTTGCAATTATTCTGCTGACCTTTTCAAGAATGTTATGCATTCTTTTCTTTTCTCTCCCCTTCCCTTTTCTTATGTTAGATCACTCATTCGAACAGTATGTTAATTCTAAAGCATTTATTGGTTAGTCGTCCTCAAAGTATTTTTGCCATAAATGTAATGAATCGCTAACGCCTTCATCTAAACTTTGTTCCAGGATGCGACGAAGGCGAGGAGAATGGTTATTTGCAACGATTTTACCCTGTTTGGTTGGTAACTGCATCAAAAACTTTTTTAAAAGCATATTTCTGTTGTATAAGCGTCTTTGTTTACATGCTATCTCTTTGCAAAGAGAACCCACTGAAAAGTAATATCTCAGTAATAAAATCTGTGTTTATCGCTTTTTTATAGGTTTTGGCGCAATCCGGCTATGATGCAGAGCCAATTGGTCGAGTGGCTGCAAATAATGGAGTTGGTCAGTTTCAACAGCCACCGCCTAGACCAGTTCCCCGAGGCTATCAGGTTCGAGTTTTATAGTGCAAAAAAAAAAGTGACATTTTTCTTGTGAAGAAAATAGGTTCGATAAATTTGATTCAAAAAAATTCTGACCAAAAAACACTTTGAGCAAAACTTTACCACCCACTGCCTGCAAAGGAGATTTATGACTGCTGGTTTTTATGCTGACATGAAACCTTCGAAACCTTTTGTGGAATTTCAAGCCGCTATCATCGTTTTATCATTTATTTCAACTTAGCAAAAGCAATCCACTGTCAAACTGTTAGCTAAAGAGGGATTATTAAAAGGGTTATTGATCAAAAAATCTTAAATCAGGGATTAAGAAAAGCCTAGAAAAATGTTTTCAAAGCTATGAAAGCTCCTTATGTCTTTACCACACCAAACGTATCTTAG